CTAAATAACAGTAAAAACGTTTTTTCTTTCTTGTTTTGTTATTGTTGTTTTCTTTTTTCAGTGACCCTCCTAAATGTATAACCTCAAAGGCCCAGCCAGTATGCCTCAGAATTATTTTATTTTTTTATGTCTCAAAGGCAGTTTTCTACTTTTATCAGTTACTTATTGGCAATTATATTAAATCCCACACAAAATATCTGAAAAGATGCATTCGTGTGTGATCAGATTATTAAAAATTGCATTTGAACTCTTTGAAAAAGAAAAAATTGTGCTGGCGAATATAACTTTTATTTAAACTGTATTTATTTATACAAAATCTGAATGCGATTTGTTGTGTAATTAAAAAAGAAACTGAACTTTAGTTGGCATTAACTTAAAAAATTCTTAAATTCTCGTCAAAGGTTTGGTAACTATTATTCTTTAATCGTTTTACATAATATTTTACATCAATGACAACTTCATATGAAGAATCTAGGACTATACATGTATATATCTATTAGACTCTGTTAATAATAAAATAATTTTTTATTGCGTTTTATTTGTAATGGCATTATGTATGTCACCTCTCTTAATAAATTATTAGAAGAAAAAATAAAAAAAAAATAACCAAAATTTATTGTAAATATATATAAATGAGTATGCTAGATATCATACTGAGAAAAATTTGTCAATAATTTTCACAAATGCGAAGCACACTTTCAGTGTGATATATACATATTAGCTCAAAAAGGAAATCAGTTTTTCTTGCTGTTGCCGTATAAGTAATGACAGCCATGAAACGACCGTTTTTCATCAACCAGAGATGATACCCAAAAATTCAGACTGCTTAAAGCGAACATTTGAAACAAAAACAAAAATTTTTTTAAAAATAATAATTATTGCTTTTGTTTGGAAAAATAAAAAACATTTTTGTTTTTTGTTAGTAAAGATATTTCAAATTTTGGGAAAAAAAAAACTAAAAACGAAAAGAAACCCTTTTTTCTGTAAATCTATAACACGGTGGGGAAAAATCACTTTTTGCAGGGGTCCCCCCACTATAAATCTGTGCTGTTTAAAATATACCCCACAAAAGCTTTTAAACCCAAAAAGTAAAAAAGTATCTGCATTTTCCTTCAAAAACAATGGGCCCGTGCCGGGAAAAATTTTCCCTTTATCAGCCTTTTAAAAAGGGTAAAAGACTTTCTAGCGCTCACGATGAGCACTGGTCACCCTCTGGCTTAAAGGGCTTTTTTCAGAAACCATAGGGTGCTTGCTCTAGGGCTGAAAGTTGTTGTAGAAAATTTGTGTTGTTGTTGTTTGAAAAAATTTGTGTTTGTTTACTTTTTTTTCAAATTTTAAATTTTCTGGGGTAGTAAAAAGGGGTACACTCATTTGTTTTTCGTTTTGTTTTATACAATGATGACCCTTTTATAACGTTTAAACAAAATTAAAAAATTAAATTCGATCTATTTAATTATATTTAAAAGTTTTCCTTCAAAACAAAATGCCCGTGCTTTAACGTTCCCTTTTTCAGCTTGAAAAAGGGTAAAAAACTTTCTAGCGGGTCAAAAGATTGGGGATGGCACCCTTTTCCTGGGTTAGGAAATTTTTTCAAGTCCCCTAATTAAAAAAATAAAAAGTTAAAAATTAAATGCCAAAAATTAAATTCCCTTCTGACTTCAATTTGTAATTTTATGGCCCTAAAAATGGCAAAAAAGCATAATTTTTACATCTCTAAATGGTGAAAATCAGTCCGCTTCCGGGGGCTTCGCCCCCTGGACCCCTACCAGGGCTCTGCCCTGGACCTGCAAGGGGGCCTAAAGCGGCCCCCTTAACCCCCTGCCTGAGAGTGCGTAATATCGATTTCGGCCTAGCTACGCCCCTGATTATGATCAATAAATTTAAGAGCAGATAGTTGATATACTTCTACTTAGAAAATAATGTGTGTATTTGAGCGTATTATTTAGCAATGGCACTTACTAACTTGATTTCCTGATTCTAAATAAATTGTTTCACCATTTTGCAATTTTGTAAGAACGATAATATTCTTTGAGCATAATTTCATAATTTGCTTCGCCAAACATAGCTCAAAATAAATAAAATCAGCTGTTAGATAAATATTATTCGGTATTTTGAGGTGTCTTTGTGACATGTGCAGTAACGTTCATTTAGATGAAATTTGTTTTAGGGTGTGGGTTGCTTATCGTAAATGTCGTCGGACAGATTAATTTTGACTTAAAGCATACAAAATATGCTTCAAATATGACTGACCTAATAACAGCCGTATTATTTTTCGTTTTTCTCTTGTGCTTTACGATTTGACTATCACAATTCTTGTCGATTCATATGATGTTTTATCACGTAAACCACGGCACAAAAGTTAGATAAAGATGTTAAATAATAATAATAATTATAATGAATATTATGTACAATACACCATCTCTAACATTTAATAAATTACTCAAATTTTAATCTCATTGGTGGATATCAAAGTATGCTGTCCGTCCGTTCAAAGTTGTTTCTTGTAATGTAACCATTAATTATTCCAACACTGTCATAAAAATATTCTCCGGGAACAATAAAATGTAAAACTATCATTGGACAGCCGTCATCTACTTTTTTCAATGCTTTGATTGTGACAAGTTATCACGTCAGTTGTGACGTCACAGTCGCATGTGTTATCTTCTTCTTCCCCTCTTGTTCTAATGAAACTTTAAAATTTTAAAATACTCATTAGTGATTCTATCAATTGTAATGTTGTTCGAATTAACAAACCTTTATCGTTTTGATAGCAAAATGGAATGCTTCATTGTTCCTTAGGTTCTATCCGCAGAAACATTTATGTTGATGATTTTATTATAAGGTTCAACCCCGATACGGTAAATGTCTTTTATCCTTCATATTCCTTTTGCTTTCTTAAACGCTTTATTTTTGAAGTTTTGATCTTAAAAAGACATTTTATTTATTTTTTACCCTTTTTCTGGAATGGCACTAACGTGACACAATGAGGTGTTCCCACGACACTCATTTTGCGGACACACTTGAGGATGGGTTTCAAAATTTCTAAATTTTACCCGTTCTTCTTAAATGTTGAATTCTGCTTAAGCCGGTACTAGGGAGCGTGGACGGTAGCTTGCCATTACCACTACCGTTCATTAACAGGCTCAATCAAACTAATGGTTAAGCAAAACAAACAACAGCTTTTAATTCGTTTGCAAACACACTATTCAAATTTCGACGTTATTACAAGAAAGGAAATGTGGTAAGAACGCATATAATAAATTTTAAAAATTGAATTTATTACCAAAGTTACATTAACATCATAAATTACTCTCCACTTTGCTACAGTTCACAGTACAAAAATATCAAAAATGGCAAACATAATATAAATACAAAATCAAACAAATAACATGAATGAAAAATTTGAATTTTCAACAAAAAACACTGAAAAGAGATTAAGGATTTATTTTTTTTTTTTTACTTTATTTTTGTTTGTTTGGATTTTTTTAAAGTTCTTTTAAAAGATAAAATATCGTCCAGAAAAATAAGTAAGAACATGCTACAAAAACTAATTCTATGAATGAAAAGATACATAAAAAACAAGTTGATATACATGGACTTCATTTCAATAATCAAAGAATCATGCATTTCAATGCATTCAATGAAACAATAACAATTCAAATATAGTTAAGTGGAGAAGTACCAGACTACCATACACCGTCTGCAATTACGTATGATAAATGTTATATAACCTGTTGGCTTTCGTAAAGGTAATAAATAAAAATGTCTTAGCAAAATGTCATTCATTAAACAGAGTCAAATCAAGAATTTTCATATTTAACAAAATTAACAACATAAAAACGTCATTAAGATCAAATATGCAAAGGCTCCTTAAAGCCTAAAGTCATGTAGAAAAAAAACGATATATTCATACCACCATATTTGATATTCTCCCCATAAAAAAAAAAAAAGGGGGGGCAAAAAACTAAATTATTTTGTTTTATTTAAAGACATTCATTTAATGAAAGTAAATTTTAATTTGTTAAATGCAGCTGCCCTTTTAGGAAAAAAACAAAAGATTTAAAAGTCAAAAAAATTTTAGTTTAAAATTTATATTATTATGTTATCACATTACTTAATGGATAACAAAACATAAATCATAAGAGATCAAAATACCTATATTAGCTTCTGACCATAAATGATTCAGTTGATAAGAGAAAAACAAAGTATGTTATAAGGCATGTCTTGTCAACCAGTGACATAAAAAGAAAGGATAAAACTATGCTGACTTCACTATACTATAAAACGTATTACATTATTCCATGCAGGGCCTTTTAAATAGAATTTGAAAGGCCCTGTACTATGACAAAATGTCTTAGAGGATCTAGAAATCACTTTGTATTTTGATCTTTTTTTAAGATATTATTATGTTACGCTTTTCATGAAATGACACTAACATGTAACATTGAGTGTTCCATGACACTCATTTACGGACACACTAGCGGATGTTTCAAAATACAAAAATTTTACCAGTTCATGTTAATAACTTACAATATAAAACAGAAAGGAATTGGACCGAGAGCTGCAATAGCTCATGGTAGTTGACTTACAATCCCTTACCGAAAATAACTGTCAACACATTTGAAAACCAAGGGTGGAGAAGTACCACAATACCAAACACCGTCAGCAATTACGTATGATAAGTGTTATAACCTGTTGGCTTTTATATAAATAATAGGGGCGCCCGTGGCCGAGTGGTTAAGGTCGTTGAATTCAAACCACTTGCCCCTCGTCGCTGTGGGTTCGAATCCCGACAGGGACTTTGGATTCTGTCGTGTGAGGAAGCTATGCAGCTAGCTTACGGAACGTCGGTGGTTCTACTCAGGTGCCCGTTCGTGCCTGAAATAATGCACGGAAGGGCACCTGAGGTCTTCCTCCACCAGTAAAGCTGGAACGTCGCGATATGACCTATACTGTGTCGATGTGACCTAAAACCCAAAACAAACAAACAAACAAATTAATAAATAACAATGTCTTTACAAAAAATCATTCATTAAACAGAGTCAAATCATGAAATTTCATATTTAACAAAAATAACAAAAGAGCTAATATGCAAAAGAAATTGTCATGCAGAAAAAAAACCGGATATATTCATTTCACATGATACAAAATACAAATATTTATTGTTGCTGCCTTTTGCTTTTACATTTGCTTTATTATGTCATTTGTACAATAACCATGAGTGAATGTATATTTTATGTGGCAGTTAGTAAGATTAGTTATTAAACTACGATAACGCATGATCTATTTCCGTAAAAAAATTAAAAGTATAAATCATCAAAGTTATGTATTCTGAAGGCTCCCAGTAGTTTAGTACAGGAAAAACCATTAAATCAAATAAAATGTGTGTGTGTTCAAATTAATCAAGGTGAACAACAAACAATAGAGCTACAATATAAGTGCATATGCTGCTTACTTAATTTAAGAAAGATTGTTAACTCACGATATTACTTCATTGGCTACATACAGGGCAACTTAATATTGTGCTTACTTTTTTAAATACACGTGTAATGCTAGTATTTAATATTCTCCGATTAATAGAATAATAAATGAGTCTAGAACTATTTATTTGATAATGACATAAATGAATGAATAAATTATTGTAAATTGCAGCTGCCTTTGAAGACCGTTGGTTGTTAGAAAACAATGAGGTAATGTCAAAATAATGTAGCAGGATTATATTATTTTGTTATGCCATCAATTAATGTATAACAAAACATAAATTATAAGAGATCAAATTACCTATATTAGCTTATACCTAGAGTGAAGTTTTTACAAATGATACAGTTGATAAGAGAAAAGCTATTAAGTAGGTTATTATGCCCCCTTCGAAGAAGAGGGGGTATATTGTTTTGCTAATGTCGGTCTGTCGGTCTGTCTGTCGGTCCGTCGGTCTGTGTCTTCATATTTTACATAGTGATTGGTAATAACTAGTAGATGACCCCTTTTGATTTTGGGGTCACTAGGTCAAAGGTCAAGGTCACAGGGGCCTTAAATGTCAAATTGGTTTCCGCTGATTATCTTGAAAAGTATTTATCACAAAGTCTTCATATTTCACATAGTGATTGGTCATAACTAGTAGATGACCCCTATTGATTTTGGGGTCACTAGGTCAAAGGTCAAGGTCACAGAGGGGCCTTAAATGTCAAAATGGTTTCCGCTGATTATCTTGAAAAGTATGTATCACAAAGTCTTCATATTTCACATAGTGATTGGTCATCACTAGTAGATGACCCTTATTGATTTTGGGGTCACAAGGTCAAGGTCACAAGGGCCTGAAATGTCAAAACGGTTTCCGCTGATTATCTTAAAAAGTATGTATCACAAAGTCTTCATATTTCACATAGTGATTGGTCATTACTAGTAGATGACCACTATCGATTTTGGGGTCACAAGGGCAAAGGTCAAGGTCACAGGGGCCTGAAATGTCAAAATGGTTTCCGCTGATTATCTTGAAAAGTACTTATCACAAAGTCTTCATATTTCACATAGTGATTGGTCATAACTAGTAGATGACCCCTATTGATTTTGGGGTCACAAGGTCAAAGGTCAAGGTCAAAGGGGCCTTAAATGTCAAAATGGTTTCCGCTGATTATCTTAAAAAGTATTTATCACAAAGTTCTCATATTTCACACAGTGATTGGTCATAACTAGTAGATGACCCCTATTGATTTTGGGGTCACAAGGTCAAAGGTCAAGGTCACAGGGGCCTGAAATGTCAAAATGGTTTCCGCTGATTATCTTGAAAAGTATGTATCACAAAGTCTTCATATTTCACATAGTGATTGGTCATTACTAGTAAATGACCCTTATCGTTTTTGGGGTCACAAGGTCAAAGGTTAAGGTCACAGGGGCCTGAAATGTCAAAATGGTTTCCGCTGATTATCTTGAAAAGAATGTATCACAATGTCTTCATATTTCACATAGTGATTGGTCAACACTAGTAGATGACCCCTATAGATTTTGGGGTCACTAGGTCAAAGGTCAAGGTCACAGGGCCCTTTAATGTCAAAATGGTTTCCGCTGATTATCATGAAAAGTATTCATCACAAAGTCTTCATATTTCACATAGTGATTTGTCATGACTAGTAGATGACCCCTATTGATTTTGGGGTCACTAGGTCAAAAGTCAAGGTCACAGGGACCTTAAAATGACAAAATGTTTTCCGCTGATTATCTTGAAAAGTATTCATCACAAAGTCTTCATATTTCACATAGTGATTGGTCATAACTAGTAGATGACCCCTATTGATTTTCAGGTCACTAGGTCAAAGGTCAAGGTCACAGGGACCTTAAATGTCAAAATGGTTTCCGTTGATTTTTCCATAATTGAACACTTCCATGTACCCATTTTTGGCAAGTGTCTGTAATAAAATTACCAATTATGTGAGTCAATGGCTAGAAAGGGGGGTATATGTGTCGTTCGAAATTCTTGTTAGGCTTGCCTTGTCAACCAGTGACATAAAACGAAAGGGTAAAATTATGTTGACTTCACTATAATATTATAAGTATTTCATTATTCCTTGCAGGGCCTTTTAAATAGAATTTGAAAGGCCCTGTTCTATGACAAAATATCTTAGAAGATCGAGAAAACACATTGAAAGAAAGAGTGAAGAAAATTACATAAACAGATAGGTGGTCTATAAAATTATGTATCTGTTTTTAATTAGGTTTCGTTATACTTAAAAAAAGTGGTAACATACACAATTTCCTATTAACATCAATGTGAAAAATGTAATCATTTAACCGAACAGTTGTTTCTTGAGACAAAACTTATTATACATTGCCCTCAGCGAATAGATGTAGGGCCTCATCTCCATCAATTTGTTCTTCTTTTAATATGTTGCTATCGTCTTCAATGGACGTTGCTCGAGAAATAAGGCTTCGAATAGACGAAGGACTACAGCTTGCACTGTTTCTATCATAAGAGTCATGATTTCGAATATACTCGTGGCTTGACCTTGGGGAGCCAGCAGTAAGTAAATTACTTGAATGTCTAACTTTCGGAGATCTTACATGAAACAATTTGTCCCTTGAAGATTCGTGTATCTTATTTTCTATCCCGATTCTCTCACCATTGGCACCTGGAATTTTGAATGGAAAAGTATGTAAGTATTCGTTACATTAAGGTTATAACAAGTTAAAAAAAACGCCACAATTTCAATAAACACTTTCAACAAATTGGAATATCAATATCCTTACATTATGTAGGTCGATCTGAAGAGATGGTGTTTTTTTTTAAAATTAAAAATAAAATGTATTCTATTAAAATTGATTAAATTAAAAAAAAAGTTATGCTAAAAATTACAAAACTCAGTCGAATAATGTTTTAACTTTATATAGAAGCGAAAAAGTGAAATACATATTTCCATTATTTTGGTCTCACGCTCGTTGTATTGCAACGCAGATTGGGTGGATTCCTTTTTTTCATTTTGCACATCTGAAAACAATTGTACACTTTTGTAGCAGTTATTCATTTTGAGAAAATATCAACATATCTGGAAGACAATACTATAAATTGCACACTTGGTATGTTATAGATCTGCCAGTCAATTGATAACACAAATAAAAATTAAATGCCACCCTGGAAAATTAAATGGACGATAAAAAATTTACGGGCGAGACTATCTTTGATAGGATATTGTTATAGACACACTCCAGAAAATGGAAAATGCTCTTATTCCATACGGCAGATCTTAATGTTATCAAATAAAATGTTACGGGATAAAGCATTTCGTTAATATATTTTATATTGTTAACTGATGAAAAAAGTTTAGGTTTATGATTATAAAAACACAGTGAAGATAACATATACTTGCAAAAGTCAATTGACCTTATGTCAATCAAGTCGCGAGGATTTTTTTAGACTTTGTTTTTATCCTTTACCTGGTATACATAGAACATTCTCATAACTAGTTGAACATTTTGCCTCATCCTGAAGTCTTTGGGTATCTTCACGAATTTCTTGGGTTTTTTGCTCCTCAAATTCTCTTTTTTGTGAGACTTAAATGAAGGCAGAAACATTTGTTTTTCATTTAATTATTCAATAATTGTTATGTATGAAAATTCAGTGCGTAATAAATAGACATAGACGAAATACTGGTTAAGACGGGGCGAAAGGGATTCGCATCTTATGCACTTTCTATTTGTGACATTAACAAACAATACAAATGCGTTTCTAGTTTTTTTTTCATTCACTTATAGTATTTCCTTGCACTTGCTTGATTTAATTTATTTCAATAAAATGTTACATCAAACCTTAATTATTATATTATCTACGTACGTTTACAGAATACAGATTTTAAGTTTCTAAATTATTTTCAAGTAATGTTACACGGTTTCAAAAATGAAATTTGTTTTGGTAACAACATTTACATTGCGCAACATTTATATTTCGAACATAAATTATCTTTGCTATAATGAAAGAAAAAGAAATGTCTTAATACTTACAGAAATTTTCAAGAACCCAATTCGTGACTAGTGACCAGTTGTCAAATGTTGGTACATTTGAATGCTCTTGTTCTTGTGTGTTTTTCTCTGGTGTGTTAAATGAAAGCGTAACTATGTTATGATGTTATTGTGCTATATTAATTCTTGGCATCCAGATGAGCCAAATTATTTCAAGAAAATCGTCTCTGAGATAAATGTACTAAGATTTTAAAAAGGGTAAATATTTCACCTTTCAAGAAATAATTAACTTGTTGTATGAAATTAATGACTGATTTTAAAGTATTCATCAATGTTTTTTCTACAGCGTGACTACATAATGTAATTAATGAATTTTATTTATTTATATTTTTATGGAAATTAGCTTAAATCTTGAAGCATGCTGCTGTTTTAAATATATAGTAATATATAAAATATTTCTATTTTTGAAGGTATATTCATTGTATTAAGACTAAGTTCAGAAATAATCGGTGAAATTACATACATGATTTGTATAGCCATTTAACACAAGAATAAAATGTAAAAACTTACCATTGTTGAAATTGATATCTAAATCACCTTTTAATACATAACAGTCCTTCAAGTCAAATGCATATAATCTTGGACATTCTTTGTATTTTTCTGTAAATGAATACTAATGATTAGAATGATACATATACTCACCAGCCGCTTATGTGTATGTAGAAAAAATGATTCTAAAACAAGTATATAATAAGTTAAATAATTTCCAGATGCACGTACGTAAGGAATGGAAATGAATTAGTCTAATAAGAAAATTCATGCTAGATTCATAGGTGCTGTGAAAATAAATTTCGAAGATATAATAATTTTTTATAGAATATACTTTTGTTATGATTATAAAATGACCGACTCAAATGCAGGCGCTAGCATGTGTAGGAAAATCTCAATATTCAACGAATTGCCCGGCTAAATATTGTAAATTTTTAAAGCCATTAAATCGCTTACTTATACATTCACGCATCTTCTTAAGTAATGAATTGTAGCCAGCGAATCTCAAATAGTCTATCAAACAAGACACTTTTGATTCTGTTCCTTTTAGTACAAAATTCAGGAAAGTGACTGCTCTTGCTCTACGGGATGAAGATCTACGAATACATCTTATTTCATCTTCTGTTAATTCTTCCCGCTCTTCAAAGAATCTTATAAGACTTAATGGCTCAATTTCGTCAACAATGTGCTTGTATGAAGCAATGATATTCTCTATTTCCATCTGGCGTTCTGAAGACACAATGAATCAGGAAATAATACACAACTAATATTAACATATTCTGACATACATGTACTATGTTGTTTGTTTTGTTGTTTATTTTATAACATTTCATAACAGGAAAGAATTATCTGTAGCGATCAAAGAACCCTCATCACTTGAATACAGCGTTTCTGTAAATGAACGATCTACTTATAAATGAATACTTACTGCCTTCTTGTACAGGTTTTCGAGTTTTTTTAATATATTGTAGTACACCGGCATTCCATTTGAGCAAACTTTGGGAGAATTTGCTCAGTATGTGTGCCTTACTGTCTGTTTTGCATGCCTTTGATATGAAATCGAGCAGTACTTCACATCTAGATTCTCTAGATGTTGCTTCAAGAATTTGTTCACTTAGATTGTCAGTTTCGTCAATCTCTTTCACCATTTCTCGATATTGCTTTGGCTCTAATTCATCACACAGGTAAAGCCTGTTTCTGCGAATGTCATCGTCAGTAACTTGAATTCCTACGGGATAAAAAGGGTAGATAAATTCCAAAGATGTTTGTTTTCTTCTTCATTATGATATGAAAAAGCAAAACATGATTCGTCATTTGTGTCATATTTAAAATAATAAAATAAGCTTCGATACAGAAGAATATATATATATATATATATATATATATATATATATATATATATATATATATATATATATATATATATACCTGATTTGTATTAAAAACATAAAATTAAGGTGACATTGTGCTAAGTTTGTTGCTGTCAAGATCATGTTTATTAGTAATATATTTCAAGAGATTGACTAATAATTGATTATGAAGATTGTTTAGGATAAATATAAAAAGGACATTATCATAAAACGGCATCTTCAACGTTTTCGCTAAATTCCGGAAGATATTTATAAATTTGTTCGTGGATAAATTATTATTCTTTTGTAAAGACAATTAAAAAAACATTGAACAGTAACATTAGCAAAGTTAATGGTTCCTGTCCCATACATTTCAGTTAGTGTTACCTTCATTTTTTTCTGACATCTTCGTTATTTTATCAAGTAATGCAACCTGATCTGTAGCATGTAAGCGTTCCTCAAGTAAACATAGCTGTATCCCATCATCAGGTAATGCCAAAAGATGTCGTAAAAACGTATCAACTTTCACTTCCGGATGTGAACTGTTTAAAACACTCTTAAACTTGTCTTTTAAATCTGCAGGAAAGTCAGCATACTCAGAGAATGCTTTGATAATCGTATCTACATCTGTCAGTTCTTTTTCAATCAACGAATAATGCTCAACGATGTTCTTTTTTGAAATTTTGCAAGAACATGATTCTGTAAATAAAACAAGTATGTTTAAACAAGAGATGGATATTGATTTATATTGACAATTCTTAATGGTAATGGTAAAATATGTATATGCAAAAATAGAAGTATAAAATCGAAACTTAAAAATGGTATTGGAGAAAACCAAAAAGTTCCAAAATAAAATGTGCATTCCTAATAAACATTGTCATTAATCCCAAAACACATAATGAGTATCCACGATTTAGATATTGATCAAAACCACAATTAAGTTTTATGACTTACGCAATCTTGACAACTGTGTGATAAGTTCATCTTTGTTATGCTTCTTCAAAAATTCAAGGAACGCTTCCAGGTACGTTTCGTTTCCTTCGCTAACAATGAATTCCACAAATTTCATGACGCATTGTGTATTCGTTTCAGCTTTTTTTATGTCTTCAATTGCCTTCACATGATCAGTTATGTCGGTCTCTCCTAGGAATTGCAATATTTCTACTTTATTTAGTTCGTTGCATAGCAGGTCTTTGTTTCTAACAATATCGGTTTTTGAAATATGTTCACTCCCTGAAATTAAATAAGAAATGATATCTGTTGAAATTTCTTATTGATAACGCACAATTCTTTTACATTTAGGCATTGAACGACTGAATATAAAAGTCTTTAAGTAGATCGATATACAGTTTTATGCATGAATTTTCTTAACCTTCAGATTCAACAATTGACTTTGCATACAAATAATACAGTGTAACAAGACGTTTTTTGGAAGATACTATGTCGAAGTAAAACTTATATATGTTATTTCTAAGTTTTCGATACATATAGAAATGTTAGCAATACTTGCATAAAAATGACATAATCATATCTTGTAGCTAAGAAAAACCCGTTTTGTAACCATAGAATTTAAATTATAAGCATATTGATACTTCTGTCTCTTCAAAGTAGGACAACTTCTATATTACAGTATTGTTTTTGGTGTACCTGTTACTTGTTTGTTTTTTTTTTAATTTGAATTTATGAATGTTGTAATCATATGCAATATCGACAGTTTTATTAATTATATTTACAACACGAAATGCTATAAAACAATACTCAAAATCCGGAATCAAATCGTAAGTAACCTTTTTTATATCAAATAATTTTGTTGCAATTGACAGAATAATCGATTGGGTGATTAATCTTGAAGAAATGGAATACTGTAACATGTATAAATTCATTAATTAACCTGTGGTGTTTGGTAAGTGAATTCAAATTCCACCACTGGCATCTACGCAGTCGGTAGTCAATTATGTTTATGAATAGTTCAAAATTCAAAATGTAAGAACATTACAAAACATTATATCAATTGATTATATTAATAATCATTTAATATATTGAACATCATAAACTTAGGGAACCTGATAAACTCGGAGTTTTTGGTGTGAACGTTGTTGGTGGTTTTGTTTATTTTGGGACATATTTTTTAACTCAGTTCTTGTGTAAAATAAACTCAATATTGTCTTACGTAAAATTAACTAAAAATAAATGTAATAAAAACTAAATGCAGTGTATAAAGTTTTGTGGGAGAAAGTGTGTTTTAATATCTGAGCAATGTAACCAGAAAGGTAAATACTATTCTCTACATTTCATTTTAGAAATACCCTTACATTTTATTTTATAATGTCAAGAACTAAACTTTACATTTAATTTTAGAACTATCCTTATTTTTTATTTTAGAGTGGCAAGAATTTCCTTTTCATTATATTTTAGAATGGCCACTGTGATTCCCAGAATTATTTTTGTAATTTCAAAATGATCAATGGAAATATTCTGTACTCTATGACCAGGTCCATGTAGCATATTTCATCTTCTCTACCTCTACCACAGACTTGGCGATCTTAATTTTGATAATTTCGATACATGATAAACGACACTGGATATAATTATATGTTCATAAAATGCGTATTTAATTATACCTGGCAACTTTACTTTTATTTCAAAGAAGATACGTTTAATTCCTCTTTCCTCTAACATCTTCAAATGTTCAGGTTTGATTAGATTTTGCAGAAGTTTCATCAGAAAGACAGGCGACTGTTTACATTTCTTTACGATCTGCATCTCTGAGGAGTGAGATAATGCCGATAAAACTATGCGAATCGATGAAAATGTTGTTTTAACGATTTCATATGCTCCAATATCCATAACCTGCAATGATTTATGTATTGAGTGTTCAATTAAATAATACATCATTTGAAATAAGTAAATTATAATAATTTTATCATTGTAATAGACATGTTATTTCAATTTTACAGATAAAGTGGTGGTAAAAGGTAGACCATATAAAGGAAATAAAGGAAATGTTCTACGTAACTTACTTCTTCTTGCAGACTTTCATTTGGAGTAGGATTATTGTCATCAACAATCATCTGTTCAATATCTTTTGCTTCTCCGTCAAATCGAAATGTTATATGTGCTGTTGCAGATGGTGCTGAAGCATGTGAGTTATAACATTTTGAATATATGTCACTTAATAATGTTTCAAAAGTACTAAATTTATAACAACATTTGTTTAAGCGAATATATTATGATAAAATTAAAAAAAAGTGCTATGCTTCGGGACTAAAGTGACATGTCCAATGTAAGTAACTTCAGTTCTTTTAGTATAATACATGTACAACATATTGTGGCATGAAATAAAGGGGAGAGAGGATGAGGCCTATCATTATATTGAGCCAATTATAGTATCATACACAACATTTCCTTCTTCTTAACTGTTAACATGGCAATTATCTGTAAATATTGAATGATGCTATTTTTTTTTTCAAAATTTATAGAAAAAGTTCAGATCCATTTCGTTTTTATTGATCAAATAGCTTATTAAAAATAATTTCAAAAATTCTTTTCATTTTGAATAATAAGGTTCATGATATGGGTATTCTGGCATAGCAGACTGGCGTTTCCGTGAGTTTTACCCTTGCCGGAAATTTCATCTAGCATGGGGGTGCCAGATGAGTCACGAGCCAAACAACAGCGTCATTTTAGCGCACTTTATGAATGAACAGCGTTAAAATGACGTCGTCTTAGAAGGGAAATATGTGCTTAGGATGACGTCATTTCGCCGTTGTTATTTAAGTTGTAAGTTCATACGGTATTGTAAGAAAATAGTTATGGATGAAATGACTCTAATTTCCATGAACATGTATCATATTGAAGTAAACCATTTTAAATATGAAATAATATGGCATAATATGCAAAAAAATTATCTGACATATGTTTGCAGTTCGGATCGGAGTATTCCGGTATACTAGTATGACATACTAGTATGACAGAAATTATTATTCATAACATTATAACGATATTTATTTATTTTATTACATTCGTATTAAATATATCAAAACCAAAGCCTAAAGATATCGTGTTCTTGCGGAAAAAAAGAGATTGTGAAAATGTTTTCACTGAAGTTTTGAAAATCGAAATATGCGGTATATGTCCGGCTAAACAGCGTTTGTTAGTTCTCCTTGACAGTTTCAGATATTGAAATTGCTGATATTTATTCACTACTTCTATTTTATTTACTGAATTTCTTAACTAAAGTATGTTTCAATAAAGATCTGGTGTTTTGGAAACACTTTCTTCGGAGTTCGAGGAAAACTTGTGTTTATATTGTCTTACGTTCTTACATAAATCGTTGGTATGAGATTGATTCTGACTGCTGCTGACAGAATTAATTATTATCAATGGAAAAAAGTCACTCGTGGCATGCACACATGTTGTCAATGTAGAAGAATCTGCGATGAATGAGTCAATACCTTGAACAAAATTGTTATGCACGGATCGAATATGTTACCTTCCATTACTGGTAATGTTTAATTTTGTAATAATCTAGATTCATTTATTTATCATACTAAACTTACTCATTCGGCAGTCTTGTTCCTCTCTACTCACAAGAGATACTTGAGGATTGGCATCGGGTTCTACAAAATACAATGGCAACAAAGGATTAAATTATCTGCAATGTATTTCGCAACAACGTTTATTGAAAATGAAATTGCAATAAAAATATTTATTTATTTATTTATTTACTTATCTATCTATCTATTTACTTTTATGAAGAGATACCTTTAAGTTCTTCTATTTCGTGTGAACTGCAAAGTTTATCAACAAAGGTATTTTTGCTATAAGCCTTTTTGAGGACTTTGCAAAAGTCATTGAAGGTCTGTTCAGTTTTCCTGTGTAGGTATTTGATTAAGCAATTGATTTTTTCTGGTTTAAATGTCACATCTGAGATGTTTTGGTGCTCGTCAAATTCAAGAACTTCTTCAGAAACCAACTGATCAATAAAGAAACGTGGATCCAGATCATCTTCCAATTTAGGTTCAAAAGATTTCAATTTTTCCTTCCATAATGAAGATGAACCAGGTGGTGATTTTCTTTTACCTGAAACATAAGAACCTAAGAAAGGTATTCACTATATATACAAAACAGATAATATGCAATTGAATAATAAGCACGATCAATTCGTAAAATATACACATAAAACAGGAGCCACTCCCGGCAAGTGCAAAGCTCGACTTTTTTTTGCAAACAAACAACGGTTTAAACAAACCTTTAAAAAAGAAAATTAAAGAATTTTATTTTTACTTTCTTAATTTCAATAGGTCTGTATGGCCACACTTGTTGTTTTGTCCGAGAATGAATCCTTTCCATAAATAAATGACAAAGTTAAGAAAATATAATCAAAATTTAATCATTTGACAGTAAAGGTCACTTAAAGGTCAAGGTCATATCTAAATTATTCCACATGTCTGTTTAGTATTGCTTTCTTGCTTACATATGAATAAAATCCTTACAGAAATAAAATAATATGACAACTTAACCAAAATTCAATAATTTGACCATGACGGTCAAGGTCATTTAGAACTCAAGGCAAACATTAGTTCAACATTTAACATTGTCATGCCCAAAAGGTTATTTTGTCCAAGTATGAAAATAATCCATTGATCTATTACAAAGCTACAGCCAATTATAGCAATTATCAGTAAAAATAAAATAAATTGACCTTCAAGTTCAAGGTCATTCATGAGTCCAGGTCAATTTTTGTTTGATATACATAAAGGTCCTAGCCTAAAGGATGTTGTTTTTGAAAATAAAATTAATTAATTATTAAATTACAAAGTCATAGCCAGTTACAGAAAAAAACAGGAGAATTTCATTAGTTTTACCTTGACAGTCAAGGTCATTTAAAGGTCAAGATCACATTCAAATTATTCAATGTGTTTGTTTGGTAGGAAGTCTTGTTTTGTCAAAGTTTAAATCAAATCCGTACATGTATAACAAAATTATGACACTTTAAAGCAGCTGACATCCAGAAGATAGCAGAAAATATTTCAACCCCCCCCCCCTCCTCAAAACCATTATATAGTTGAAAGAAATCGAAATGACACTTCAAAATGTTCATATTTTAACATCATTGTTCTGTAAACAAGGGTTTTTCTAGTACCACATGGTCTTACAGGACAGTATCGCGACCTGTGCTCCGGAACGCTCGGAATCCGGGATTTTATCAAACATATAGGGGTACGAATAACTGCTTTTGTTTTTATATTTGTAGTAATTCATGGCACTAAAATTATAATAATTAAACAAGAACGTGTTTGTTAAACACAAATGCCCCCGGCTCAGATTCTTGTCAGTAGCAATACTTCAAAAAATGTTTACCCATTCACTCAGTTATGGACAGAAAAACGCCAAAAAATTGTAAACACAAGTTTTATAGCTTGACAAAGTCATGGCATTTTGTAATTGTGAAAAATATAAGTTGCCAAGACATTGCTCTGACTTGTGATGTTGAAAAATATTCAACTTCATGCAAGTTATCTTCCTACCAAATATGAAATGCAACTGTCATTAAATAAAGGCTGTATGGGCAAAAGTGTATAAATCTATTTTTAGCACTGGTGACCTTGACCAAACCGACCCCTAACTCTATCCAAAAGAAGAATACCACGTAAGTTATCTTTCTACCAAATTTGAAATACATCTGTCAATAAATAAAGGCTGTATGGGCAAAAGTGTAAAAATCTACTTTTAGCACTTGTGACCTTGACCCAACTGACCCCTTACTCCATCCAAAGGAAGAATACCATGCAAGTTATCTTCCTACCAAATATGAAATAAAACTGTCAATAAATAAAAGCTGTATGGGCAAAAGTGTAAAAATCTATTTTTAGCACAAGTGACCTTGACCCACTGATCCCTACCCCAATCAAAAGGAAGAATACCATGCAAGTTATCTTCCTTCCAAATATAAAATATATCTGTCACTTAATAAAGGCTGTATGAGCAAATGTGTAAAAATCTATTTTTAGCACTGGTAACCTTGACCCAACTGACCACTAACTCCATCAAAGTTTATGTTTCTATCAATTATAAATAACATCTGTCTATAGAATAAGGTCAACACCTGTGAAAATGTAAAAATCTATTTTTAACATTGGTGGCCTTGACATTGGTAACATTGACCTAGGGTTAGACCTAGACCCAAATGACCCCATACTACACCCAAAAAAGGAAGTGTTTGTATTAAACTAAGACATCAACTAAAAAATAAAGGCCGTATGAGCAAAAAGGTTTATATTTATTTTTTAAACCAGTGACCTTGACCTTGACCCTAGAGACCGCTTACTCCAAAAAAATTATAGGACCATCAAAGGTATCCACCTACTAAATATGAAAGATATCAGTAAAGAAATTAAGCAATTAGGAGAAATTTAAAATAAATCCAACTTGCCGAAATAGGTTAACCAGACAAGGCCCTATTTTCAAAGTGAAAAAAGGGAAATAACTGGGAAATATGGATGACACAGTTATATAACTTGGCAATATCATGTGCTTTGTATTGATAAGTAAGTGTGGAAATTATAAAGCCATTAGTATAGATAGAACTTAAGATATTTCCAACTTGCCGTTTTAGGTTAACCATTATTCATTTTCTAAGTGCTGAAAAGGGCAATAACTTGGTAAATATGAAAGCCAGAGTTATGAAACTTGCCCAGATCATGTACTTTGTATTGATTAGTAAGTGTGTAAACTTAGAAGCCATTGGTACAAGTAGAACTTAAGGAAAATCCAACTTGCCGTTCTAGGTTAACCTCGTACGGACAGACAGACAGACGGACGGACGGTTCAATTACTATATGCCCGGGGGCATAAAAATAAGCAAAATTTAGACATTTGTCCTTGAAGATCAATGTAAGTCTGGTGTACTAAAAGGTCTTGTCCCAAGGGTTTTTGTGATTAAGTATGAAGACAATACACCAATAACTTAAAAAGTCAAAATTAGGGTACATTCGGCAACGCCGAAATGACTGTAACAATATCTCATATTTTTTTTTAAAGTCGAGCTTAAAATAAAATGAATGCAAAGTCTATCACATTAATAACAAATATATTTTAAAATATTTAATTTACACTTTACACTTAGTGATTATCTTTTTAAATAAAATCGTCGATTCAGACTATTTAAAAAAAATTGTGTGTATCTGTTTACCAGACATAGAATATTCCTTGTAGTCCTTGAAGACATAGTAATAGCCTTCTTTTGAGAATGCAGCTTCTATCTTTTGAACGGCACAGGCATCACTGTTTTCCAGAGAGCGATTAATTGCTTTTATCAGAAACTCACACTTTTGGCCTCTACTTTCCACCCTACATATATCATCATTATCTTGATCTGTTATAACCTGATCGCTTAGAAGTCTATCGACTATACCCGAAGGAATAAGTTCGTTTTTAAGGTAAACAAATTTCCTTTGAAGGAACTTTTGCATCCGCTTTTGTTTGATTGAGCTCGTGATATTTCTGTTTTCCTAAGCAATAATGAGTATAAAAAACATTAAATAGATAAAAAAATTTAATAAGACAATTAGTGACGATTTTTCTTTTCTACTCCATGTACTCTTCTCAACATTGCCGAAAGCTATGGTACCCTGTTAACATGCATGCATTATGACGTATTTTTTCTTGAAAGATACATTTCCTCTGAATTATCATAATTATAGTTTACCCTCATTATCAATAGTATTATATTAAAATTAATGATTTGCTCGTAACAGGTCATTTCTTTTCATTTTAAACAGAAAATAATATCATTTGTAGAATGTAAACATAGCCTGAATAAACAAGCAATTATCGTAGTATTGCAATCAATACAAAACACCCTACCGCCTGAACCTCAGCAAAATTTTGAAGGGCTATGGTCATTTCATTATGCCATTGTGGAAAACATGAATGAAGATGAATCTTTTGAGTTCTGAGTTTGTCAGTATTAAAATAATGTGTTAAATTTCCCTGCCTAGTATGAAAATTACGTTTATACAACAGATAATCAAAAGATTCATTTTTCTCAAGATGATTATGTACAACTTATGTTTCAGCTTTTCTCTATTTTAAGTATTTTTTATGGAAAAGTTCCAAGTTCTTTAAACGTGATCTTCATGAAACAGTTGTTTGGGACGGACAGATAGACGGATTGAAGATACTCAGAGGGTAAATATTTAAACAGGCCTGGTTATTACCAGAATATAACATTTTTTAGGCAAACTAAAGACGAAATAAATCGCTTATTAAAATTAAAATGCTACACTTATGAACATTGTCATACATGATGTGAGTGATGACGAAGAAACATTATCTTAAGTTTAAAGTAGATAGTAACAAAGAGGAAAAGTAAAGTAAAAAAATCACAATTTTAAATATACCATTTATAGTAACAAACAAGAAAATTAAATATAACAATTTTCAAATAAATCAAGGATCAAAATGAATATAATCATGGCTTCAAGGGCTTCATAATTCTAAGAAATATAAAAGCTATAGTATTGAATCTTCTCACACATGATTCAAGTGATAATAAAAAAAAAACCAATTATTTTAAGTTTGAAGTTGAAACATTAAGAAATGAAGGAAGTTATACAGTACAATACAAAAATTCATGAACATTTTAAGTTCAAGGTGGAATTTCTGTTGTGAACCTTGTCACATGTGATGTGGTCGGTGATCAGAAGCATATATTTTTATATTTTAAGCAAATACCTCTTTAGAATATAAATTACCTATAATGAAAAAGGTTTTGACTGTGTAAAAACTTTAATCATACATCTGTACCCAGTCGCCGACGCTAAGTAAGTGATAGAGCTCTCAAAATATTTCCTATAGGCAAGCTTAAAATGGTTTGCATAATCTCAATACTGCAGTCTATCCATATTCAGTTTATATATATAAATTTCATAAAAATATATTCCGTACTTTTTGTGTTATCACAATTATTTTGATATATGCCATAGTTAAAGTAAATTTTTGCCACAGCAACCAAATTTTTCAACACGGGAAGAACAATTAAGACGTGCATAATCTCCGGACTGCCATCTACCCATATTTCAACATTTTCAGTACTTTTTGCGTTATCACGGAATCCCGTTTTTTGTGTTAAATTTGCCATAATCTAATTTAAGTCTTTTTGTTGCTATAGTAACCAGATCTTACAACATAGAAAGAAAAAAGATGTACATAACCTACAGACTGCCATCTACCCATATATCAGGTTTCACAAATATATTTTAGTAAATTTGCAATATCACGGCATCTTATTATGTGGACGGATAGACACACGGACGGACAAACGGAAGTTCTCACATGACAGTAATTATGTGGCTACTCTATTGTTTTCTCTATTGTTCGTTTTAGCCTTACAAAAGAAAATAGCCACATAAAAGCATTACGGAATGAATGACATCAAAGAGAATGAACAGTTACCTATTGTCCCTCTAGCCACATTATTACTGTCCCTTGAGAGCGGACAGACTCACGGACGGACAGACGGTCGGAGGGTAAACATGTAGGAGACTAATAAATATAAATCGGAAACACACCAAGGAATTAGTTTTGCAACAAAGGCACAATCGTTTTGAATTATTAATTTCAATTAAATCGACGACATACCATCTTCATTTTTATGTAATCTACTTCATCTGAAGTCTGTGAATTCACCAACTGCATATCTTCATCATTGCATTCCATTGCTTTAGATAAAAAACACAGCTGATACAAAGTGTTTAACTATTATCATAAACAAAACACGTGTAAGAATACTCAAGTTTTTAATTGTATTGATGTGATTTTTTATAATAATGAAACGACAAATCTGTCCCTGGACTCTTTTCAGGCATCTTTATCCAATAATTGTTATTCTATTCACATTCCATTGAAATGTAATATCATCTAGATACAAAATATTCTCCACTACGTTTTAAGTCTGATACAGAAACCGCAGAAGATCACCAATTACCTTGTAATGATCCAATTCCACTAGAGTGCGCATGTGCAAGGGACAAATCTGGTGATGATGTCGTATTCGTTGGTGTGTTCGTTATACCTGAATCTGGGGACATTCGCTTCTCAGTTGTAAAATTGTTAATTGCTACATTAGTTTTGCTTTCCATTCTTTCGGTCCCTGTATAAATATAAAATATTCAATAAAATCAATAATATGTGAATGTTTTGTTAAATACACTACTGTCAATTAATCTTTACATAATACGTAAATAATAACACACCTAATATTGAAGAGCCAGACGATGTCTGTACGAATTGGCATGGCGTTCCAGGTAATGGAGGTTGTGATGTTGTTCTGTGGAATATCAAACTCCTGACAGTAAGGTTTAAAGAATCTGTGTTATGTGGACCACTAGCGTGTTTTTCCGGAGTAAGAAATTGTTTTTCATCTTGATCTGAAATACCCGACAAAGTGTGTAGTTGTTTATGTGATTCATTAAGTATCATTTATAACTGTCATAAAGCATGTACCAAATCAGTAATACAACCTTAATGAAGAAAAACATATTTCATACAAACATAAGCATGTTTGAAAACACAATATAAAGCTTTAAAGTGGATGTCACTATTGTCTCGAACAGGCAGTAAAAGTAAGTTACTTTTGGTTTATTCGGATAGAATGCTTAGTTTCAGTATGTTTGTCAAGGTTATAAAATATTCAATTACAAAACGAGATTTTAGTTGATTTCTTTAAAAGGTTTTTAATTTCAATGGTACGGAATACATACTTTGAGTTGTGTATTGTTTTGACCTCTTTGCACTTTCATTATCATTATTTTGAATGTTTTCTCCTCTGTAATTGTAAACATAATCACTTAACAATTTGACAAAAGAAAGTAAAACGATAGAGAGAAAACAACTTGCTTCGACAATACACATAGGCACTTTCAGGACGAACAAAAATCTGATCGCTTGTTTCTCATATCATTGTACAGCTAATATTTCATCCATTTAATCGACAGTTCAGATATTTTCTTACATAAAAATGGTTTGCATGATAATGCTTTTCAATATCCTGTAATTTTGGTTTGTTTTAATTAACAAAATTAAGCTCATATAGCGCCCAAACAGGATAGATGATTTTGGCAAACCTAGGGTGTTACAAACTATAAACCAACCACTTCACCTGCTTTAACTAAGCGATGCAAAGACTTCAGTTATTTAAACCCAATTAGTTGCTTCTTACAATCACGCAGGGATAAACGGTGGCTACAATTCTTATGTCTCAGTCATTAAAAGCAGCACTATGACCACCAGAGGCCTACTATGTTTGGTATGTCATCTTATCAACTGATAAACGGTGTGTAAAAATAACACATTTATAATAACATGGTTACATATATATATTGAATGAATAATATATCGTACCTTGATTTCCTTTTACGATTTTGAAACACTTCTCCCTTAAAATAGGAAAAGGAACATTCAGTACTATACATGAACATATCAACAAACAAAAAAGCATATATACGAATATATATATATATATATATATATATATATATATATATATATATATATATATATATATATATATATATATATATATATATACTTTAAATAGAATAAATATTTGTAAGTTAATATACCTGACATTCTTAAGTTGTTCAAACATTCAAACAAAACAATCAAAAATAAATAAAATCTCAAAAGAAAGTATAATTAATAATATCTTTCCTTACCGCCATGTTTTCACAGGTTTATTGAATCAGACAATCTGCAACACATATTGGTGATTATTTTTGGACTGTCAGATTCTTGGTTTTACCTCAACACAATAGTATTTCAACTGGCATTTATACTGTGAAAATAAATAAATAAATTTTTAATATCATCTTGAATTAAACCTTGATTGCACTTATAACAAATAAGATAACATAGCATTTTTACTTATATTGAGAATTTCGCTGAGAATCATGTTTATATTAAAAATATCGTTAATATTATTGATGATAATATGTTTCAATCTTGTAAAACACTACAACGAAGTGATAAAAATCGTAGACCACAAGGTAACAGCTAATCAAAAGTGTTTTCATGTGTGTATATTTTTCAGTGTTAACGCCCTAACATGAAAATCACTTCTTTCCCATTCATTGATATTATCTTGATTGTCATCCTGCTTATGACTCACGTAATATTAACAATCAAACTACAATCTTACCAATTCAAATAAATTCAAATATTTGCACATCATTTCTGAATTTATTGTAATTGATTTGATGAAAATAGGTTGAACATTAACAAAGATCTAGGACTTGAAATAAAGCCGGATGATAGTTCCGTCGGTGAAATTAAAAGAACAACGTTCTTTTGTTCTTTTACTTAAAATTTGATGTTTTAGAAAACATATTGAATAAATGAATATTTCATTTACCAATAAAGGCAATGGGAGTGGTAATGCACATGTAAAGTATCCAAGCCACGCACCGACTGCCTGTGTACGAAACAAGTAAAACATATCACGAAAATATAGACAAAAAGACACAGCATAATGACCATAACAAATGTACTGTACTCGATTCAAAATTGTACAAAATTACTTATGAGTGGGGCTAAGTAGAAAATACTTACTTACATAATATACCAACGCTAACGAAATTTTACAAATATTGAATAAGTCGATAAATTTATTTATAAACGATACATGATTAACATACGCAAATAACGTCAAAAACGAAAGTATGGAAATTCCCACATTTTCGCAAGGGAATTACCCTTTGAATTCCCCGAGTAATAAAACTCGTAATATAGCCGTTACCTTCCGAAATGCTAATAGATTTATGAAGCTAAAACTGCAACACATATGATTATATACTATACATGTATATCGTCAGAGATCGAATTATTGTTTTAAAAGTAAATCTTGTCACACGGTGTAATTTAAGTAAACAGAATAAGTTGATATATTTAAATTAAACATGTTTGGCCTTTCAGTGTCTACTATTTTCACCATTAAATTTTGTTGACTAGTCAATCTACCATGTGTCACTTTGTACGACTCATAAGGACACATGTTTCTGGAAATGTACTGAATTTGAATTCCTAATCAGTTACAAATTATTTATCATTTAATGATTAACCTGTCCGTGCTTTGTCTTTGCCCTGTCCTGTTTTTGTTTGGGGTCCGCCTGGGCTCCTTGCCGCTGGTTCTAAATTGTTGCTGGGTCATATGGGGGTTGCGTTCATTGAACGCCGCCTTTCCTTGTTGATCTTGTTTGTCATATTTTAAAAAGTTACATCATACTTCAGGATATCCTTCTATTTTTGTAATTCATTTAATTTCCATATTTTAAATACGGTCATGCAGTTGAATATACCATATATACCATAAGTATTACATAGTAATAAATCAATGAACCAATGTCTGGCAAACTTTTAAGATTAGAATAATTATCTACAAAGATGTGCAACGTTCTAGAAGCAGGGCATTCAAAAGCAACACAGATAGTCACAGTTAAAAAGTTATGGTACGATGGTGGGTCAATATGTAATGCAATATGAGCAATGCAAAATAAGAAAAGGGTACTCATATTTGCAATTTCCTATTTCAACAAACCAAAATAAGCTCCTACAGAAATTCAAAATATGAAACACAAGACATCCACAGCACCACCGACAAGGGGTCCAGCAGGACACCAAGCAGGATATGGCGCATGGACAAAAAAACAAACGGGGTGTAATCCATTTTATATGCATCAACATACATTGTAGTCCTCCTTATTTATACCATACATTTACTGCAAAATTGCCGAAGAAAGTTCATTTCTACTCTTAAAAAAGGTTTTTTTCCAGTCTAGTCCAGGAAAATGAAAAAATTCACAGACTGCCAAGTCTGGAGAATAAGATGAACGTTAAGGGACAGTTACAGCAGTGCCTTTGTGTGTAGAAGCGTTGTCATGTAGAAACAACAGGCATTTCATACCAGTCCAAGGACGAACGTAATTAATAAAAGTGTTTTTCGATTAATCTTAATACACCGCCTCTAGAAATAATAGCTCCATAAAATAACGTACGTCAATCTTTAAATTGAATCGTGCCCATATTTGAATTTATGCATCTACCTCGACACAGTGGCACAAGATACTTCATTATTGCTATAAATTTTACAAATATCATTTAAACATTTATAGCAGATTTACTTTCAGGTATCTTCCCTTTGTTGTTACTATTATTTCCTCTTATGTTTTAATATGTATTATTAAAGTGATTATCATGGCCGTGCTCTGCCTTGTGCACTGTCCTGTTTTTGATTGGGGTCATCCTAGGGTCGTGTGGGGTTGCGTTCAATGAACGCCGCCTTTCCTTGTTGATGTTGTTTATCATATTTTTTGCTCGAGCATTATGTCAGCCCGTATTTCAGCACTTTTAACACAGCATTTATAATATTTTACATGAAGTTACTCGTGTAAGATATTTTTAATTTATCGGTTGATTTTGAAGCATAGGATAGTTTACACAAACACATGAATAACGAGCTTAATTAGAAATATTGCATTACATATTATATTACATATTTTTATATTGACCCACCCTCGTTTTATTATGTATAATATATTTGTTAAGTAGTAGCAGTCGATTATTTTCAATTCTTTACTTTTAGAAATAAAGATTTAAGACATTCATATACATGTATATTTATTTACTTTATTTATTTATTTATTTATTTATTTATTTATTTATTTATTTATTGCTACAGACGTATCCTGGTGTCATTCTTAATATTCTTTACCCAATAACAATTACGTTCTAATTAGGAACAATAAAGCCTAATTAGGTTATTGTAAAATCACTTGGAAACTCATAACTCGGTGTTATAGAGGCCTAATACATACTTATGCTGGTGCTACATGTAGAAGCATGGACGTAAGCTAGCAAATTCCAGTACCATCCATGAATATGCTCAATTAAACCGAGCCTGCAACATTTTCAATTTTGTCGTTTTGGGCATTCTTTAAGGACGTGCAAGTTACCGTCCACATCATCCCCTAGCACCGGCTTAACAGAATTCAACATTTAATCCATAAAAAGCGGCGTATGGTCCCCATTTAAAAAAAACGTGTATCCTTTCTATATTTATAATTTTACCTTTTATTAATAGTTACAAAGAGTTTCATTACTTCTTATTAGATTTGTATAAGTCTTATAATTAATGATTGCTTCTTATAAGCATTTTTTCTTCTTCAAATTATGAGTTTATCGGACCCTAATAAGGCATACAGCTGAAACGAGGGTCACGCCTTTTACAGACTTTATAACTCCTGATAATTTTAATAAAGTTTTGATTAAGTCATACCTCCTATTAGGCAAAAAAACAGTTGCAATATGATATTATGAGTTATATTAATTGTTGGACACTTTAATGAATTCATAGATATATGAATTAAAAAATAACTATTTTGTAATGAATCAAATATGTAAGCGTGCTAAACACGCCTGCCTTTAAAATTAGTTTTTTATTCTTATTTCAGATGTAAACAATCAAAAAAGTCGCGAAACGGACTGTTTAAATTATAAGTAGTAACTTTATTTTACAACGCAATCATAGTGACCTAATTTGCACAAAGTACTGTGTTTAGTCACCCTGTTCTAAAAATAGAGCATTATGTCAGATTTAGGAATAGATCTTTTAAAATGAAAATTTTATGAGAAACAAAATATTGAACCTCAACAGAAAATAAATTATAACTAAATGGTTTCATAATTTCAATATTTTGGGTTAAATAAAACACAAATGAGAAACAACTATTAAGAAAAACAAGAAATACCTTTCAATAAGTCACAAATGAATATATCGGAACTCACTCGTAGGTTCTGTTCATACGAGAAAATAGTAAAAATTATTTTAAGAAGAAATGTAATCTATTTTGCGCATGCGTCGACTTCAACACAGGTTTATAGGAAGTTTTTATTAATATATTTATTAAAGCACGACTATTTCAAGTTAAACTTTTAATTTCATCGTTATTATGAGTTTAACTTAAAGCCAAACCCATCTTCGAAAAAAAATAATCATTCAGCTAATTTTAAACTTGGCTCAACCGAAACCGAAAGTTGTAATTATTATTCATTATCGTACGGTTGGCAACCACTATTAATATACGGAGTGCTATCCGATTAAGCAGTCAATTTCAAAAGAGATACAATGTACAAGTGTTTGTGATTAGATATGAAAACTAAATTTAAGTCAATTGTTTTCAACATACATGTATACATGTGTATAACAAATCCTAATGTAATTGTCTTTGTATGAGATTTTACAAGAGCCACCGCCGGTGGCGAGGACACACATATATATTTGAATATATCTGCAAATATATTTATAAATACATATTACAGAAGAAAAAAAGTCGACCTAATAAAAGGCATCTAAAAACATTTTATGAAATGAAAATGGAAGTGTCGATGACGGTATTTATTATAAGCAGATGGGCAATTCCACTACGTTTTTTTTCTTCTTCTGTAATTATGTCATTGAGAAATTACTGTAGCAAAATTCACGATATTCTACATGTTTGATTAATGTCAATGTGTATTTCATATTGTAATTTATTTGCACAATGTTCTTATAATAAATCTGATTGAAGAAAAATAATTTGATACACTGAACACTGATTTGATTAAATAAATAGGTATGTACAATTGACTTTCTTTCAGATAAATATATATATAAGTATAAATTAATAAAATCAAAACAAGACAGGAAGAGAATAGAATGTCTTCTTTGGTGTATTTAGATTCATTTCCCCT